TCTAGTCCAAGAGCCCAGCCATTCAGTGCTGACCAAAAGCTAAAGCATGTTACTAAATACATTGTCCAAATGCTTTTTAGACATTGACAGTCTTGAGCAAACCAAAGAATATTCTGTTAACCTTTTTTCAATTGCTCCCATATTATTTTTATTTAGAAGCTTTACATGGCCACCAGCACTGCATCCTATAAAAAGTTTACAAAAAAATAACTTTTTCTTTCAAGAAATTGAATGAAACACCTCATTTTTTTTCTTTACATTATTTCATTCCCGAGGATGAAAAATGGAAATGTTTTTATACTAAGAAACTACTGTATTATAAATTCCTTTTCCGTATAATAGAAAGTAAAAATGTGAATAGTAAAAAAAATTAAACAGAGAGTACTTCCTAAATGGAAATTGAAAATAATGGTCCTAATGCTTTTTAGGTGATGGGGTTTTCCCCCAGCCCTGCAATGGAAGCTACACTGCAGGTGAACTTCAGTTCTGCTGTGCACACGTTCTCCCAGAGCTCGTGCTGGGTGGGGTGATAGCCTCAGCAGCATTGCAGGGAAGGGATAGGAAGGTGTGGAAGGGCAGGATGATGCTGAACCTCAACAAGTTCTGGTGGGAAGGTTTTCCACTGTCTCCAGTGTGAACTTTCCCCTGAAAAGTTTTATTGATAGTTTAAGGCTGTTAAACCCAAACTTGCTAAATGGAATAAAAATATATATATTTATTTTACTGGGGCTGGAGTTAGGCTCAATTAAGGCATTTTTGAAGGTTACAGTAGCATGGGGTCTATTTTTCTATTTTATGGCCTTCAGTCCATAACTGTAATAATTGTTAATCTAGGTGGAAGGGATCTGAAAGTCTGTATTTGACATCTATTACTGCCCAGTTATAAGACAGAAGGGGAGCTATACCTCCAATAATGTTTTAAAAATAAACTACATACTAGTGGAATGGCATCAAAGCAAATATTAACCACAGGAAAACCATTGGCACCAATGCATTCATTTAATGTATACAGTATCTAGGAATATTAGGTTTTTACTGAATTCTGAATTTATCTAAGAATGGATTTAAACTCCTTGCTCTTGATTTTAGAACCATATGTTATAATGTATGTGTCAAAGAGTTTAAGATATTAACTAAATACTAAATAATAGTTTCATTCGCAATATTAATTTGCAATAATTTGTGAGAGGCTTCAATGTCACATTTCCCAGATAAAATATTAATTGCTCTTTCTTTTTTGTGTAATCAATGGTTCAAATTACTTAATGAAGTAGTACTTTGAAAAGACATGGCTAAGGTGGGACACATGCCTAAATCTTCACATTTACATTGTCAATAGATTAAAAAGAAAATTACGATCTAAAATTAATATACAGCAGATGAAATTAGTCTTGAAAAATTCCAAGAAATATTAAAATTATCTGCCAGCAATTATACTGACATTTCAAATACTTGGTTCAATAAAAGATTTTGACCTGTGCACTTTCTAGTTTGTTCCATTTCTGAATTTAATGGAGGATGTTTTAAATATGTATAATCTGATTCCTTTGCAGAAGTTATATATTCCAGGCAGTAGTTCTTGACATTACAGATTTAATTGACACTGCTTTCCTTCCTCCTTCCTGAAAACACTGATTGCCAAAGATAAAATCAAGTAATTAATTCTGCTTTGAATTTCTTCTGACTTCTTTACCATAATTTAAATTTACATTTGTAAGGAAATGAAAAATATTACTTAAATGTGATTTTAATTCAGTTGGTTTATGTCTGTTAATAGTTAGAGCTGGCTTGTAACAGCTTGAGGAGATAGATGATCTGAGATGAATAAGCTTCATATCTAACAGATCAAGCTTTCATATTTAAGGATGTCAGGTGTTACGAGAGACTCTTGACTTTTCAGTGGCAAATACAGTTTGAGAAAGCACTGAAATCTGATTATTCCCTTGCTTTTATTATTTTTCTACTCCCATCCTTGGGCTCTATCCTGGCCTGTTCACTTTCTCTTGCCCTGGCTCTTCCCTGAAGCTCAGATCTCTGGATCCTGGAAGATGATGTGCAGCTGAGGTATTGGGAGATTCTGGAACAGGTGCATGTGGCTTGAGAAGATGGAGAGAGAAAACCTTGTCTTTTATACCTGTGGTCTGTTGAAGCTTCTTAATCTCTCTCTTCTGCCAGATGTATCCTATGACTACAACAATATATAATTTTAGCTACACAGCTGGGAAGTCTAGAGCCCACTGTGACAACAGCTGACTATTTTCATCCTCAAAGATGCAAATATCTCCTCCTGAATACAGAATATAATATTCTAAAAATATGTTAAAGCAGATGTACTTAGCTGTAAATATAAACATAAATAAAAGCAACCTCAGTTGTAATTAATTAGATTCATTCATAAGAAAGAATTAGTTGATGAGTAAATGACATCTATTCAAATCATAGTTGATTCAGCCTTTTACATCTTTCGTGATGAAAACCTTTCCAAGCAGCCATGTGATGAGCATCAGCAGACTCACTTGCCCTCATCTTCCCATTCCACAATCCTCTCTCTGATATGGCCTGAGTGACATTATTGGCATCTCTGCACAGCAGCCACAGTCCCACTGCCAGACCAGTGTCAGGGTTACCAAAAAGCAGAATCCCCCTGCTTTGCACTCCCTTTGGGGGCTTTTGCCTTTCAGGTCCCAGCCAAACCCCAGCCAGCTTGTGGAGCTCTCTTGCTTAGTGTTTGGTCACAAATATTGTCCTCATTTAAAGACCTGGATTTGAATCAGTGGCTGAGGTGAATGGAGAGTAATCCTTCTTGTTCACTGGCACGTGTATCACCACACCAGTAGAAGGTTCTCCTGAAAATGGCATCAGGAACAACATCTCAGGTGTAAGGGATGCTTTCTTTGGGGGAAAAGAGACTGGACCTTTATAATTAAGAGAATAATCAGAGGAGGTAAAAACCTTTTCCTTCATTTCTGCCCTCATCATCTAGGTTTTCTCGAGTGCTAATTGTCATCACTTGCTTGTAATTTTTTGTTTTAGAGAAAAACTTTACTTGTTATTTTTTGAATTCAAAGATACTTGTCCCCTCCCCATTATAGCATGGCTATTTATAAAAATTTATAATAAATTGAGCTACCATATGAGAATTGCATGACTTTCTCAGAACTAATTTTAATTTCCTATTAGTGAGGAAAGCATCAACCTTTAGTGCACTTAAATAACCACAATTAAAATTTCTTTACTGAAATTGCATAATGGATTCGCAGGCTATGTTGTTTTCTAAGAATTAGCACATATCACACTTACACCATTTTTTAGCTGAATAGGTTTTAGGCTGAGAAATTTTTATTGTCAAAGAAATAGTCTGCAGTCTAGATTATAAATTCAGACACCCACTTCTTAATTGCTGCAGTGACTTCTGACTTCTCATAAAAGGCACAGAAAAAATAGAAAATATACAAACAAATACAGCAGGAAAACAGAAATATGGAATGGTTTGCATATGTAAAGGAACTGAAGAATGATATTTCAGCACAAAAAAATGCAAACCAATGAGATAACTATAGAAGAACACAGAATGCTGATTCATGTTTCTCAGAATACAAAAGTTTTGAGGGCAGTGTCTGAAATAATAGAATAGAAATAAAATATAGGGAAGTTGATTTCACACAATGCATACTCAAACTACAGAATTTACTGACACAGAATATCATAAGCACCAATAGAATAATGTGACTAAAAATGAAATGATGTGAATTTGTGGAGAAGTAGATTACTTATTGTAAGCAGGATGGCTTAGGAGAAGTCTCAGATCTTGGAAACATGCTCTTTCTGCTAAAGAAGGACCTTCCACTGTCCTCTAGTGGGTAGGTAAACAAATACTCAATAGTCTAAAAAATGACAGCATTCTTATAATTCAAACAATTTCCAAAGTTTCTTGAAATTGAAAAGTCTTTATTTTTGTCAAAACCCCTCTTAGTACATGTTCTTCCAGTTTTCTGTGCCTTTCTGGGAAAGGAGGGTAGACATCCTTCTGTGCCAGTCACCCAGATAGAGTGTTGACTGATTTGTCCTGGTCTTCAGGTTTACTACTAGTTCTTAGTGATAATTTTGTGTCTACATTTTTTAGAAAAATTGCCCTGAGGCAGGAAAAAAAAAATCTTGCACGTGATAGGAGGTGTGGTGACAATTAAAGTTTCTGCCTTCTAATTACCCATTTTTTGATGGCTGGAAACTTAAAACAGACACACCATCTTGCTGAAGAGCAGGGATTTTTTCACATTTAAAAGAAGTAAATGAATAATTATCAGTCACATGCCAGTGTTTAACCCTGATAACAGTAATCAAAAACTATGTAAAAGATGCCACAGAAGACTGAAGTGAATTAGGCTGAACAAAACCTGATGTATTTACTTGTCCTGTGTGACGTACATTTGAGCTCTAATCATGGAAGTGGAATCTGCTTTTGCCAACTCAGCTCTAGCTGTTTTGGCAGGTGTACATTTAATAGTTTGCTCGTGCTCCATGGCACACTTATATGTGTGATGCCACCTTTTCTCCTGACAATATTTCTTAAGAACTCAAAGAAAGTACTACATGCATTTAGTATTATTACTATTAATAATCTTTCTGATACTCAGAGACTTTGGGGAGGGATGGTGTCTTGTGTATGGAATTTGGAAGGTAAACAGTGTGATGCCAGTTTCTGTATGGAATGAATACAAATATCTGTGTATATGGAATGAATATAAAGTAGATAAAATATTTCATTAAAGCAATGCCGTGGAGATGTATTTCAACATTTCATTTTATATTACTTTAAAGATTTAGCTGAAATAATTGTTGCAGTCATTTCTGTGCAATTATAACAAGAATAACTACCTTTATATGCTGATAATAATAATGCATGGTCTAGTATGAAATCCATCTATTTATTTAAGTATTATTGGCAACTGATAATTTTAACTTACAGGAAGGAAAATGATACATGTCTTTTCTTTTTCCAGGATCCAAAAGAATCAGTGACAGTGAAGTTTCTGATTACGACTGTGATGATGGAATTGGTGTTGTTTCAGGTACTAATGTTTAAATTTACTTGTCCATGTTCAGTAGAACTATTTCTTAGTTAGAATTCATTATGAACTTTGAAATGTTTTTCTAATAAAAAATAAGTGGAACTTAAGTATATATTTTTCTAAGAGACACAAAATAAATATTATGCATAATGCATATCTAAACTCAAAAATTACTAATGGGGGAAAAGAGTCAGTGTGAGAATGTCCTTATTGCTTTTATAAAATGATAGGAATAGCATTAAGGTAGCATTTTGAATAAATGTCAAGAAGTGTTAATTTAATTTTTTTTGACAGACATTTGTGGTTGATATAGCCTGTAAAATTTCATGGTGGAAAAATAACACTGCCAAAGGTCTGAAACGTGAATGTTTAAGGCAGGCCAGGAGATAGCAGATAATCTGTTTCACTGAGTATTGGGATTGAGCCTATTTGAGAAAAAAGTTATCATGTCAAAGAGTATGTATCCTTTTCTAAGAGAAAAGATAATGCTAGATAAAAAATAATCATAGCTGAAAGCAATAAAATCATAACCATATGCTTCTGATGACTACAACAGAGAATATGTTTAAGATTATGGAATCATGGACATATTTAGGTTGTATCAAGTCCAACTGCTAGAGCTGCAAAGTCCACTACTAAACCTTGCTCCTGAGTCCCACAGCCACACAGAGTTTTCTGTGCTAGACAGTTTTTGGTTCTCTAGGGTGAGGTCCAGCTCAAGTGTTAATTAGTGAGGTTTGGGCGTTCCTCAGTAGACGCTGAGCAGTAAAATCTGTCTGGTCTGCACAGCAGCTGTAAAACCTTGATCTGCTCAGGTCAGTCAATGCTTGTTCCTGCCACACAGCCATCCATCAGCATATGGGGTATAGGACATTCTGCTGGAGGCTCAGGAAGGGGAGATAGGAAAGAGGAATGAGAAGGAATACAGCTCACCTTGGAACTTTAGAGGGAATAAAAAGAGGTGAGACAGGCAATCCTGAATATCATAAGATGGTGTGAAGCAAAGTATTGATAAATCCAGACATTTAGTGAGCTACCTAATTGTATGAATTGTCCTAGTCCTGTTATAAAAACTGTTACCAGTCTGAGTTTAGATGCATTTCTGTTTTGCCTCCATAGTCATCCTTTTATTTCCAGCTATTTCATGGTTAGCTCATAGGCTGTGCTTAATTTTTGACCCTGGTATATTACTATTTAATGCTATGGGTCTTGCACTTGCTGGGATAAGGAGATAACTTTTTCTGTTTTTCATAATAAACAGCATGCAAATTTTATGAAAAATCTCTTTATATAAACTGACATAAAATTTTACAGACTTTTGTGCTAAGGTTCCAGCAGTTTTACCAGATTATAAAAGAACACAAGGCCTGCAAAACCACTAAAGTTTCTGTGTTCCTTAAAACATTTATCTTCAAACAGTAACAGGCGCAGTTTTCAGATTATTACCTTAATTAGAAAACTGTTAAGGAAAACTTACAGCATTTTTATGTTTCCACTCTCCTGCTTGCCTTCTTACAGCCAGAACACAGGAAGGATAGGTAACCAGGGTGGTGTGAAGTTCTGGAACCAAAGAGGCAGCCATCCTCAGAAGTTCTTTGTTCCTATTTACTGTACTTTTGGTCTTTGATGAGCTTTCTGGCTGTAATTAGTAGTCTCTAAGGCAATTCAGATTATCTGTCCTCCCAAAAAGAAGGGCTTTAATACTGCTGTGGGTCAGTTAAATTAAAAATTTACCAATCTAATTTAGGAGCTTAGAAATAAAGGTAGGAAAGTAGTGGATTTAATGGTTATATTTCTAAAGTGCCCAGTGTAACATCATTTTGAAAGTGACTTTTTATTCCTGTCCTGGAAAAAGGTACCAAGTTTTGTAGAATTTTTTTACCAGGTGCTTGAACATCAGCAGGATTCTTATGAAACACCTAGGTTTACAACTTTGATTCAATAAATTTATCCTTTGAAAACTTGTAAAATTATGTTCTTTAAGTTTCAATGGATGAGCCTACTTCCCTTACCTGAGTTTCTGACATACCTTTAGTTTTTTTAGGATCTTTAAGCCATTGAATTTTTGCTGAACAATTCTACACCTTAGTTGCATTTTAATTCAGCCTGGCTGTGTGGGTAGGAAAATTTGATGGTTTTTAGGTTTCAAAATACTAATTTAGTGCCTTACTTTTTTGTGCTGTTGCCACTACATTTGTAAGTCTTCTGGTTTAGTCTTGTCTTGTCTTACCAGCCACTCTCCTTATCATTCCCTCTATCATTTAAAGTTCCTGTGTTCGTTTGTGACCTCATCACAATCTTGATTTGAGTATATGAGCTGTTTGCATGAAACCATTTGTCTCTCTTTGTTTTCTTTCTTTCTTACTTACCCCAGTTCTTTCATTTTGTATTTCCAGGTTTTATTTAACATGACACTTTGCTCTTTTTCTGTCTGCTATATAAATAGTGCATTACATGTAGTAAGCTTGCCAACATCTTTCGAGTACTCTCAAAGATGCTTTCCATAAAATTAATTTCTAGTATCACACCTGTGAACTAAACTCCAGAAACCTTTGAGAAGAATAAAAATTATCATTTTGCTCCTTTTCATCTTACTTTTATTCATAATGATTGATTAGATATCCTTTAAAGTTCCCTTCCAATTCAAACCATTCTATGATTTTATGACCTCTTGGAAGAATTATTTACAAAATCAATTACTTCTTGTGGCTTGGATCTTAGCCTGCTTAGACAAAAGTAATAAACTTCAGTCTGTTGCTTCTGTAAACAGGAAAGGCTTTTAAGAAAATAGTGATAAACAGATTGAAAAACTTCAATGGCCTTTTTTTCACTACACATGTATTCTCCAACAGAAATAGTCACAAAGGGTTATGACATATTACATATTTAAAAAGCAGCTTTCTCCTAGATTTTCTATGTTTCTAAAATAGCTCTCTTCAAATACAATATGCATTCATCTTGGGAAACCCTAGAATAAAGTCTCTATTATATTTAATCTTTGCTGGCATTAATCTTACCATAGGATCGTGGAATGAGCAGCATTAGTAGTTCTGGTTATGTCTTTAGATCGGTTATACCTAACTCTCAAACAATTGAAAGCATTTATTTTGCTGCCCTGAGCAATAAATCTTGGCCATTAAAGTTGTCTGTTGTGAGCAGTTCTGTGTGGGAGTACATCAGTATCTACACCTGCCCTTTAGAATGCTTTTATGTCCTTTTTCATAAAAGTGATACACTATTTTTATATTGATTTTTTTTTTTTGGTAAATTCCAGAAAGGTTTATAAAACATTATTTATATTATAAAAATAAATACAACTCAGCGAAAGGCAGGTTAACTTTTTGTTTTTTGTTTTATTTTCTTTTTAGTGTCCAAAGTTAATCATGCATTACAGTTAGCAAATTCAATCTATATGGACTATAATTTATAAATAGTTTTCTTCCCAGATATTTTCTTGTGTGTGTTGAACCTAGGGAATACAAGCAACCTACTGAGTCTGACTTTATGAACAGAGACATGTATTGTCAAGACCATTTAATCATAAAATTCTCACCTATTGTTTTTTGTAACACTAAAATATTCAGTAAGATATTAATGTTTAAAATTCAGTTCTATACCAATATCTCATCTGCATTACAACAGATTATGTATTATGAAACACTTGTAATCTGAGATATGTTTCAACAGATGAATCATGGATGAATGTAAAGCAGTGAATTCTGCATGGACTGCATTACAAGTCTCTATAGAGAAGAGCTTTTCCAAGTTAAAGAATGCAGTCTCCAGCTTTGAGAAGAAAAACATTTATAGGGATAAATTTTTATCATTACACAGAAGATAGCTGTATGTTTCAGGAGCGAATAAGAATACAAAGAAGATATTTATTCAGAGGATAGTTAGAGCCAAGTAAATTAGGAAAAAAATAGTAATTGTCTCTACAGAAATTATTATTGAACTTACAAAAATATTTCTGTGTTTGAAGAATGAAAAGCAATTATCCATTTTTGCTTCACTTCTTAAAACACCTGAGGAATCCTTTGTTCAAAAGAATGCTTTCACTGTCATGTTGCAGCCTTTGCTGCACAGGCAATGTCTTTTTCTCTTATTTGCTGATAACGTGGGCTGAATTTTTATGCCTGATTCCTGTGGATGATTGCTTCTCAAAGCAGATGCAGGAAACACACTGTGGTTACAGATTGAAATCAACTGCCTATAGAAAGATATCTTACAGCATTAGCACATGGAGTGGATTACTTCTATCCCTACTAAAATACGGATTTCATTGTAGATCACCAGCTAGCCCTAAACGGGAGCCTCTAGTGACCCAAAAGCCCAGTAACTTCAGACATAAACACTGTCAACGTTTTTATTTCATTGCATGTTGATACCAAATGCCCTGCTCTAAAATCTGTTCTTTCTGAGCTCCCCCTTGAGTTAAAAATGTTAGTCTGTGTATCACAAAAATCCCCCTCCCAAACTGAAATTCAAGCCTTGTTAAATAGTTCTTATGCTGACCCCCTAGAACAATGGGTCTTTAACCATTTTCCTTTATTTCAAGCAAATAATGTATATATTACTTACAACTTTATGCCTAAACATATTATTATAATTATTCAAGCTTTTCTTGCATTTTTAATTTTATTTCTTAATGTATACTTTCAATTTAACAAGTTTATTCTCTTATTTAAATTTTGAATGTAATGCTTTAATTATTTAAAAAATAAAAAAATCCTTCACTATAATTTCCTCAGCTGAAAAATCATCTTTCTCTTCAAACATCCAAATCCTCTCAATGCTTTTCTTTAAAGCAGTCAAAACTAGTCAAAACCATTTTTAAATATAAGCTGTATCACTCCACTTTGAAAGGTGTAAATTGATTCAAGTTTTATTTTCAGCTTATTACTTGTTATCAATAACATCCTCTTTGTAGAAAGTTAAGAAATGATGAGCTTGGTGTGCCAGTTTATATTCTGCCACAGTCCTATGTCTATGGAGCGACA